GGGGGGGGTGGAGGGCTCGATGAAAGGGTCGAGCTCCGACTGAGCTATTGGACCCACCAAAGTAAACTTGCTGTTCTCAGCGCCTGCCGCTTGAAGTGATCCTGCTCGACGGATAAGTGGTCGACGCCGTTCCACAAGCTGTAGGTAGCCGACTGTAACCTCACATCATGCCCAATGGAACGATCCCTCTAACCGACCGTGGCCCACCCACATCGTATCTTTTACCCCAGCATCCAACGTGTTAGCCGTTCCACGTTAGTGTCGCAGCCACATGTCTCAAGCGTGAGCAGGGGGCAGAACCGTTCGTCGCTGCGGGAGATTCATGCATGTGGCGTGCAAATTGATAAGAAGGGGTTCAAGCTGGTAAAGCCATCGATCCGACCGGCCTACCCCGCGCGCGATCTATTCGGAAGGAAATGATCCTCATGGTTTGGTTAAGAAGGGCGCGAAATCCGCGACGTCGCGGCTTTGTCTCATCACTATGGTGGTCCCTCGATCTCTCGAGCGCTCTGTATAGCATCCGCCAAATAATCGAGTGTCGATGATGGTCCTCGTTGAGCACGCCATCAGAAAATCGTGATTCACCATATTCCAGCGATAGCCCAAAAACGGCCGAGTGGACGTACCAAACGGTATCTCTGACGGTGCCTCCAACGGTTATTCCTCCAGTCTTCAAACGACGGTCTCACCAATGCAGGAATATCCACAACTCCAATACTGCTATCACCATACCACGCCGACACTGGTGGAACCGGACCATGCCGTACAACGACTTTCGCCATTTCCGTCCCCGTCTGCAGCAGTCTGGGCCGCACACAACAACACTTTGTGGCCTAGTATGCTGGCTGGTCAACCTCAGGACCCCTATACGCCCATTTTACCGGCGCCGCCCGGATCTACTCCCGTGTTTGCAGGATCAAAATCTGATATGATCCCAACCAGCGCCGGGACGAACACATCTCGCCGCAAGCTGACCGATGAGGAACGCCGCCAGATGTGCATTGAAGCCGAGCAGCATCCGGAGAAAAAGCAGAGTGAGATAGGAGGTATGTGACCGCGCTCAACGTCATCGTTCGTTCTGACCCCGTCTAGCGAAGTTCAACGTGGAGAGGAGGTATGCGCGACGTCCGGTGCTGGTGGATCATATCCCGTGGACTAATGGTGTGTAGCACGGTATCGAAGATCCTGGGGCAGCGGGACAAGTACATGAATCCGCAGACGAACGGGGACCGCGTCAGTCGCGTCAGTCCGATCAAGACGTCCAAGGCCAAATCACCGGACATTGAGAAGACCCTCACCAATTGGGTCAAGAATCGACAAGAGAACGGGCTCTCCGTCACGGACGAGGATCTTCAGAACCAAGCTCATCTATACTCGTGCAGGAAGAGCGGCCAAGCGACTACTTTAAACACTGACTGGCTGGAGGAATTCAAGGGTAAGACCGGTCTCATTGACCCCAAGGTCAATCCCAACGCAACCCTAGTAAATCCCAGCTCGATCTCACCATCACAAACCGCTCTAGACGGCTCACCCACGTCTTCCAATGGCCTTGTCTCTCCTCCGATGTCGACAATTGAGGAGCACACTCAAGGGTCCACGGTCAAAATAGAGACCCACACAGATCCTTTTGGCGTTGGAGATAGGCAACTAACCCCCGAAACTCAACGGGTTGGCACGAGCAGGATCGAGGGCGCGGACGATGCGTTCGGGACCTCTTATCGTCCAAGCAGCCAGACATACTCCCACGCACCGGGTCTTAGAACAGGTTCTCACCCATCCTCACACCCGCGGCAGATGGGGCAACGACACAAGAGTGATCCCAACATCGACTCCCTTGCAGGGGTGCCCCTCTCGCCTATGCAGCCTCCACCACTGCCACGGCCCGTGGATACCTCACCCGTTAACAGCACGGCCTCGCCGGCCGAGGAAGATATCATTCGAGCGCTGCACGCCGTCAAAGAATTGCTAGAACGGAACCCGACGATGGCAGAACCGAACGACTACGTGGTCATTGGTAAATTGATGCAGATAGTTAAAACCCTTTATCCAACAAGAGCGCCACCGCCGGGAGGTATGCACCCAATTGATATCATAGACAGTCCTCGCATTTCCAAAAAGAGGGCCATTCTCGACATCTCGACCTAGGTGCAGGGCGGCTCACATGAGTCATCACCGTCCCTTCAGGGAATCACCTTTTCGTGGATGCGATTTCTTGGAAGGGTCTGGCGCGCCGCCACCTTTGGATCGAGCCTGGCGAAGGACCTTAATCGTTTATCTTTCCCCGAACAACCATCAAGTCTTGACAGACGGAACACCACGGACGGGAAGTGTTATGCCAGGCGACGCGATGCCGAGGGATGGCCGGGTAGAGTTCACATTCGGTGTCACGCCTTCGGCCGCCAGAAGCAGCTTCGGACTTCCTAGAGACCGGATGGGCCGTGTAGATTCCCTCCCGCCGTAGGACACGGTCGCTCGCCATCCGGCACCATGGAGAACTGCCACTCCGATAGATAGGACCCGGCGTCGGTAGAATTTTCTCGTACTTTGTACGAAATCACGGATGTGCGTGTACATGCATTTTCATTTCCTTCAGAGAGGCGTAAAAACCCAGGCGTCTCCGAGCGCGTCAGCGAGCGATCCCGCCGACTCTCTTTCGTTCCACATCTCCATACGCGTATATACTTGCATTGTCCCTACTATTCGCACTTCTCGGTTCTTGTCCATTTCGAGGCCCTTATCTCGGTCGCGTGCGGGCGAGGGTCGTGTCAGGATTGTAGGTTCTCTCATTCGTCTCTGTTCGGGCACCGCCGTAAGAACGAGGTCGTCGTATCGACGGTAGATGGTCGGAGGAACGTCGAAGAGGTTCGATCACGGGGAAGTCAACCGTACTTTGTGTTAGCTTTCCTTTCTTCCCTCTTCCTCACCGGAGGATTCTGAGGATCGGTCTGTGTATTCTCTTGCACACGCCGCGGGCAGAGGTAAGATCGGAGAGAGGATAGATTCGTCCCATGAATGAATGGGTCAGACAGTGTCCAATGTGTCGACGTGGTCCGGTCGAGAGATATGGTGCACCCCAAAGCGACTGACCGGGGGCTCAAGGGGCTGAACGATGCTACCGCAACCAAAATTGATATCGAGGGTCATAGGTATAGGGGCAACATGAGTTTGGGAGAGGGCCTTTCCAATGGCAGTGACCACGGTACGACGTCCACAAAAGGACAATGGAGAGGAGCACTCTAGGGTGAGACTTCGCCCGCAGGGCCTCACGGTCACGGGCAGAAGCTTTGGCGACTGCGGATCCTCTACGACGGGGAAAGATTGGCAGCGACCGACAGGCCCAACCGAACCGCCCCAACCCCCCTTCGCCCATCCGTGCCTCCTTCTCCTCCTTCTCTCTCTCTCCTTCTCTCTCTCTCTCCTTCTCTCTCTCTCTCCTTCCCTACCTAGTTACGGTTAAGGGTGTGGTCGCCCAGAGAGGGGTAGTAGGTACCGCTTAATTATCGCTTCTAGCTTATACTAGGCGTTTGAAGTTCGTAGGTTCGAGAAGCTCTGTGAAGGAATGAAGGGGGATTCCAAACAAGGACGACCGAAAGCCGTGGTGAAGGATGGAGCCTGGACTCTTCTGCTCTTACCCTGACGTTTCCTCCCTCTTCCCTTTGCAGCCGTGTGGTTCGGTAATATCAGGCTAAAGAGAGTCCACGTCGGGAGTATCCCGTACTCGGTCTCTCATTCTTCTCAGCTCGGACGAGCTGAGCAGCTCGAGCGTGGCGCCGTGGCGTCCGTGACTGCTATGGTAGAAACCCGCAGTTGGGGCCCTTTCTTGTGCTGGTAGGGGCCACCGCGCGATATTTGCGGTTTCCACTCTCCCCAGTCCATTAGGGAGGGGTGGAGAGATGAATGAACCCACGACCGACGGGCCTACTGTTCAGGCATCGACCATGGCTATTCGAGGTATTGGACCCTACTCGCCCAGGGCTAAATCTCATCCTCCTGCGAGACCGTGTTCGAGAGACCTCGCATCACGCTAGGACTGGGCTTGCCGCTGTATGGCTGAATGGAAAGACGCTCTCTCACCCCGTCGCAGCTTGGTGGTGGATTGGCGCCTCGATGGACAAAATACGTTATCGCCCCCCCCCCC